TTATATTTTTCGATTAAATATTGTGTATTTTGAATTTAGATATTCGTGGCAAGTGCAATACTGCGATTCTCTTTTGGACTCAATCTAGTTTCTTGGAACTCTGAATGGCGGATGCCTCTTCCTGCACCTTATCTTGCTCTTTTGGTTCTTGCAAGCAGTGCTGTTCATGCATTTCATGCTCTGACAGATTTTCCTGCCACATCTACTGCATTGCGGTGGAGAATTTTGCATATATCCTCGGTCGCATCAAGTATGTTACTTTTTATCATTGAGGTATTCCGTTCAGTTAAAATTAGCGCCAAATGCGAAGATGCTCGCATTCAACGTCTTATAGCACAGACCGATGTCAACGGGAATCCTATTCCCGTTCCTTGTACTGAAGAATCTGCTTCGATTTTCAGTATCATCTACTTTTCGTGGGTCAGTCCCTTGATACGACTGAGTTCCCGTATGTTCCTCGAACATAAAGATATTTGGGCACTCAACCCGATCGACTGTTCCAGCTCCATTATCGATCGCTACAGCCGCATCCGCACTCGTTTTAAATCCCTTGGTTTCAAGCTCATGCTTTTGACTTGGCAGAGATTTGCCATGACAACACTATTTTGTCTAATAGGTGCTATTCTTGCGCTGGCTCCACCGTTTTTCATAAACAGGATTGTAGATTTCATCGAGCATCCAAATGATTCACCACTATACATGGGATTCGTGTTTGCTTTGGGACTTTTTGGTTGTTCCATGCTCAAGTCGTGGTGTAATAATCAGTACTTCAATAACGGCAGAAGAGCTGGTATGCATCTTCGTTCGGTTCTCATTTCTGAAATATATAAAAAATCCCTGCGTCGATGTGTTTCCACTACTCACAACAAGGGTGAAGACGACCAGTCGAATGACAAGAATGGCAAAGATCCCAAAAGTGCTGGAAAAGACACCAAAGCCTCGTCCGAGGACAGTGAATCATCTCTTGGCAAGATTGTCACACTTATGTCAGTGGACACCCGTCGTATCCGTGAAATCATTGCGTATATTCCTTGGGTGTTTACCACTCCCTTGCAGATTATTGCCTGTGTGGTTGCTCTATTCGGCGTTCTTGGATATTCTGCTATTGCTGGTGTCGCTGTGATGGTTATTACTATGCCAATAGTCAGTGTTGTCAGCAAATTTCAATACAAGGTCGGTGATATGTACATGGCCAAAATGGATGCTCGTGTTGGTGTTGTCAACGAAATGCTCCAAGGTATCCGCGTCATCAAATATTTTGGCTGGGAGTCAGAGTTCTTCAACAAGGTGAACAAGGCACGTCAAGGCGAGCTAAATAGTTTAATTTGGTGCTTCATCAGCAATTCGTTCAGTAATATATCATGGAAGTCCATTCCTGTTTTGGTGTCGTTTGTTACCTTTATGACCTACACACTGATTGCTGGACAGCAGCTAACTGCCACCACTGCGTTCACCTCGTTGTCATTGTTTATGACATTAAGATTTCCACTTATGATGCTTCCTAATCTGCTTATGGATGTCATCCAAGGTATGGTGTCGCTTCGTCGTATTGAAAC